CCGCAGCCCTGAGCTCCGGGTGTCCTGAGACCCTCAGCCTGGCCCTCACCGCAAGGGTTGGTCAGGCAGCCAGGCCGTTCAGACGGACGGTCCCATTTTGCAGCTGCTGTCCAAGAACGACTAGCTACGGATGTTGTCACCCCCACTCGCCAAAAAAACACCGACTGAGCACCCACTGTGCCCCGGGCCCACAGCGTCATGGTGACAGAAGCATCCGGACCCCTCCCCTTAAGCTTGAGCCGGGGTGGGGGGGCAGGCCTGGCATCTGCTGTTGAGCACGGGCAAAGGGCTGGGCGGTAGACGGAGGGGTGGCGCAGCATTCCACAGAGGGCATGGGGAGGGGGCACGGATACCCCCCGGGAGGGGCCCGGAGATTTCGAGGGAGGTCAGCGAGGCTGCTGCCGAGACAGACAGCCCAGCCCCTGGCCCGTCCTCCAGCCTCCTGCACACCACGCCCCCGCCGGCCCCCTGGCCTGTCCGTCCTTCCTCTCGTGGTCGAAAGCTCCCTTAGCCACCTACAGATCTGGATTAAATGCCACACCATGGGGAGGGACCTAGATTCCCAAGTGGCCCCAGAGCGCTCCCGAGGGGTGAACCCGGAGACCAGAGGGAAACGGAGGTTAGAGGGAACCAGGCAGAGAAACTCACCCTTCTCTGCCGTCTGCTCTGAGGTGCAACTTTGACTTTACAGGGAGGGGATGTGGTCCTTGTCCTCTGGATGTCCAGCTGGGATGGACTCTTTGCAGTGTGCCCTCAGGTGGTGGCCCAGTAGTCACACACACATCCCACCTTATCCCCCACAGAGTTCCTTTGCACAGTTTATGTTCCCTGCCCTCGAGGTGCATGACCCTTGCCTCAGGCTCTGCTTTCTGGAGACCCGGCCTGAAACAGGAACTGGGGCTCCAGGAAGTGGCTGGCCTGACATTGGAGAGGCTGGCTAAGACTGTGGTCACTGCTCTGTCACTGCCCCAATCAGGGAGCAAGGAGCGAGGGATGGAGTGGACATGTCCTTTGGGAACCCCACCTCTGTGTTCTTGGCTCCTGGGTGGGAATTCAAGCCCGGCTGTGGCCCCAGGGGGCTGCCTGACGTCCTGGGTCAGGGCTGGGACTGGCTAGATCAACGCCCTAGCACGGAGACCACTCCCAGGGCCAGGCGGGAAGTCAGTGGAGCCTGCCCTTAGGCTGCCCAGTGGTAAAAAGAGAAGGACGGATCCAGGAATACTTGAGCCACCAAGTGGTTAATTGGCCTTGCCTCAATCAGCCTGATGAATATTCATGAGGTGCGCTGTCCTCATCAGGCCGAGGTCTGCATCCGACGCCCTGCGTGCTGGCAATGCCTGCCTCGCCCCCTCTCCGTCCGTCCGGCTGACAGACGCCAGCCCGCACTCGGCTCCGATTGGCCCGGCTGCTCTCGAAGATGCCATAGCAACCCTGGCTGGTTGCCTAGTGATTTTTCCCTCTCTTCCTTTTTACCTAAGGCCCGAGCTAGTAATCCACAGACCGAGGGTGGAAATGTCTTTGTGCCATGGTGTGTGCGCGTGTCGCGTGTCTGCACACAGGTGTCCGTGTGTCTGGGTGTGCGTGCACGGGGGTGGGGGTGGGGGGACTGACAGGGGCGGAGCTCAGGGACCTAGGCTGTGCCACTGCTCCCCAGCTGCCTGGCTTCCCCAGCCTGCACCCACCCCTCGCTTGAGGACTGCGATGAAGGCACAGCTTGAGGCCCACGTGGGACGTCCTTTGATCCCAGCTGCAGCACCCACCAGCCGGGTCCCCAAACCCGAGTCCTCGGGAGCCACGAGGACTTGTCTTCGTCCCGCGGGACGTCCCTCGGGAGGACTTGTCTTCAGTCCCTCCTAGCACCTCGCTGGTAAAGTGATGGTGATGTCAGCGCCCAGGCCCTGTCCAGCGATGGCACCGGGCTTCTGGTGCTTGATGGGCCAGTCTGTCCGGTTCACACGCTGGGACGGATGGGATCTGACCTGTGCTGTGCGGGGTCCCACGTCTGGGGCCTGGCCAAGGGTCAACCCAGCTGTCCTGGACTTATCCCCCCCTGGGAAGGGTTTCTAGTGGATACTGAGGGACCAGCCCCCTGGGAAGAAAGCCGTGGGAAGACCCTCTCTGACTGGTGTTGCCATTTATGTTTTTCTTTAGAAAAGATTTAAGGAGAGTTTCAAACCAAGGAGGTTGGCAGGACCTCTAGGTAAATCTGGAGTGCAGACCAGAGATTGGAGGGGCCCAGGCCTGCCCTGTGGCCCCCGGACAACGTGCCTGGGAGAGCACTCCTGGGAGCTGACGACAGCCTCTAGGGCACGGGGTCCTGTGCCCTGGCTGGACAGGCTAGGGGAGCGCAGAAGAGTCACCAGGGCCACCGGAGTGGGAGGCGTGCTCACACCCTGGAGAGTGTTAAACGTTCTTTATTTGCAGACATCAAAGAACTTAACTCTTCCAGTGGTATCAGGGTCAAGACGTCCAGAGAATTGGGCCCAAAGTCGACCGCTCCCATTTAGTCAGGGTCGTGACAACAGAGTAGAGAAAACTACCTCCGTGCACAGAGAAGCACTTCTGTCCGCTTTGCCCAGAGGGGGCGTCTCCGCCTGGACGTGCGTGTGGGGCAAACTCTGGCTCCCCTGGTCAACACAGCAAATGACCGTCTCTAGTGAGAGCTGCACAGCAGCGTAGCCTCTGACTGATGGTCAGGGAAAGGGGTGAGACCTGGCTCCGTGGGGCCTGGGCGGCCTGATGGCCTGATGGCCGCCATTCTGGAGGTGGACGCCTGGCACACAGGTGGTGGCACAGAGCGACAGGGCCCCTTCCTGCCTGCTGATTGGACACAAGTCCAGGTTTGAGGGACGTGGAGATCTCTTGGGGCAACTCCTGCTGGGTGCTGGGCCCTGGGAGTCCTCCTGAGCCTCCCTGTGGGCAGGGGCCACGCTCTGTCCCGTGGGGGGGTGGGGCGGTCAGGCAGGTCCCAGAGGAGCAGGACAGGCCCAGCTCTGTGCTCTGAGGGCACTTGCTCCAGGAGGGGGGAGCTGGGTTCCCTGCAAAGCCCAAAATGAGGCGCCTCGGCCGGCAGTGCCCAGAGCCTTGTCCGGAGCCTCAGGGGTTAGGGTTCTCCCCGGCTCCTGATTTGTGTCCAGACCTGGGAGGGGGTGGCTGAGTGGTGGGACAAGTGTGGGTGGAGCTGGTTTCTGCAGTGGTAGTGGGGGGGGGGGCGGCGGCGGATAGATTTGGAGAGGGGGGGGGACGTGAGCCAAGGCAAGGAGGAGAGACCTGGGCCAGGCGGGGTCGGTGAGCGGATCTGAAGGGACCTCAGGGGACTGGGATGGAAGGAACGGGGTGTGCGGAGACTGATGTGCTGGGGGGCTCGGGGCCCGCCCCCCACTGGTCACGGCGGCCCTTCCTCGCACCCCAGCGAACCTCCGGCAAGAGGATGTGCCGTGGAGCCGCACGGCATCACGGACCAGCCGTGGCCCTGAGCCCACTTTGCAGGGGGACGTGCCCCAGGCTGGTTCTCCAGGCCTGAGCCCGGCATCGGGGGGCGTGGGGGAGGGAGTCCCACTTGGCAGACGGTGGGGCGGGGGCTCCCTGTGTGTGTGGAGCTGGGCAGACTCCTGGTGGAAGGCCCAGCAAGCAGGTGGACGCCCAGCTGGAGTGGCCCGCGGTGAGCACCTCGCCCCGCTCTCTTTCGGGAAGGCCACAGACAGGCTCGCTGTGCCAGGGGACCTGGGGCTCCTGACAAGGCCTTGAGGGCACCCCGTCCGGTCCATGTGCCCCCGTACTCACACCTGCGGGGCTGCGGGCTCTGAGTGTGCAGGCGAGGCCCGGGTGTCTTCAGATCCGAACGTTGGCTGGGGTGTGTGTGCTATGACGTCACCTACCAGCAAGCCCAGCGTCGGGGGGCGGGGTGGGTATGGGAGTGTCAGGGCGGGGTGGGGTTCGCCTGCAGGGCTGGATGTGTGACTGCAGCCAATCCTCTGGGGTGTTTGGAGGTTAAAGAGCAAAGAGAGGGACGGGAGTGTCTGGCCCCCACCTTCCCCGGGACCTGACGCTCAGACCGGACCCTCCGGTTCAGGATTGTGGGGGGTGGGGATGGCCAGACACGTGGCCTGTCTGGTTCCCCACAGACCTCCGGGGACGGAGGGTGGCCCCAGGGCCAGGGTGGGCTTTCTGTGGTAACGGGGAGGGGCCCTGCCTCGGGTTGAGGCCCCCGCACATTTGGTTGCTGCGTCCGGGGTGCATGGACCCTGAGGTGGGAGGCCTTCTGGTGTCCTCCTGGGACCTCAGGGCCTCCGGATGGGCCTGGGGGAGGACCTCTCACAGCTGTGCCCATAGCCGGTCCCACGGGCCCTGCAGGCGCCTACCCGCTGCCGGGCTCCCCCAGGCCGGAGGGCAGAGTGGGACTCCGCCTAGCACTGCTCTCACCCCCCCTCCCCCCCCCCCGGGAGGGGCATCTCCCTAAGGAGAAGCCTCGGCTGACCCCACCCCGGGCATCGGAATATTCAGGTGAAGGCCGAGGCCCACGTCCGGAGCTGGTGCAGGGAACAGACCGGAGACTCGCTCACTCCCACCCTCCTGCCCCACAGCCAGAGGGCCCTGGGGTTCCGCCTGGGGACACCCGTCCGGCTTCTGACCAGGGGGCGGAGCCCAGCTCTCGTGAGCACGTGGCCACCGTGTTGTGTGTCCCAGGCAAGGTGGCTGCACCCCAGGACTGAGTGAGCGCACCTGGGGCACTTGGGAGGGAGGGCAGGGCCTGCTCAGCCCGGAGGCAGACACACACACACACACACACACACACACACACACACACACAGGTCCTGACTGGAGCCCCACCTACTGAGGTGGAAAGGGGGCAACGGCTCACTGTTTGTAGTTTAGCACTTCCCTTGCTTGTGTGTGTGTGCGCGCGTGTGTGTGTGTGGACAGTTTTGCTGAGGTACAACACACACCCTACAGCTCACCCTTCAGCGTGTGCAATTAAACCATTTTCAGGCTATTTGCAGAGTTGTGCGGCCATCACGACACCCACCACCTCGGGCGGAAACCTGGTGCCACAGCCCTCGCTCTGCCCGCCTCGGCCCGCGGCTCTCACAGTGTGGTGTTTTCCAGATTCATCCGTGCTGTGGCCGTGTCAGCGCTTCATCCCTGCTAATGGCTGAGCAGTATTCCGGCGTGCAAATACACCGCGTGTTAGACATTGGCGTTTGGCCATCATGAACAAAGCTGCTGTGGACGTTCGTGTACAAGTGTTCCTGTGGGCGTGTTTTCGTTTCTCTTGGACATACAGCTCCGAGTGGAGTTGCTGGGTCACAGGGTGAGTCTGTACTTAGTTTTTTGAGGAACTGAATCATTTTACATTCCCGTGAGCAGTTTAGGAGGGCTCATCTGGCTTTTTAACGTCACCTTTTTCTTATTCCCTGGAGACTAAAGCTATTCATTCACCCACCCACCCATCGATTCACCCATCCATCCGTCCGTCCACCCACCAACCCCCCATCCACACATCCATCCACACAGTCATCCATCCATCCATCCATCCCCCATGAGTTCCCCGAGTACCTGCTTAATCCCAAGCCTGGGTATATGATCTGTGGGATCCAGTGGGATCATGGCTCTCTGCCCTTCAAGTGCCAGGAGGCTCTTTAGGCTAGGAGGCACAGAGATGGGCACGAGCAGCCGCGTCCAGGGGTGGGTTCCTGCTTTTAAAAGAGGAATGTGTAGGACATCAGGGGTGGGCTTGCAGGTCCCAGACGCTACTCTACTTCGGTGGCTGCTGCTCTCTCCCACCGGGCTCTCCCCCTCCCACAAGCCCCACCAGGCCAGCCTATCCCAGATCACCCATAGGATTGAGGGCGCTGAGATTCTGCATTTCTGACAAGTCCCAAGAGGGTTGATGCCGCAAGGTATTAGGGAACAGGACCCGGCACGCTCCCATGCTGTCATGGCATCTGCAGCACGGAGATGCCCCTCCCTTGATGAAGTCCTGTTGTTGGCACAGGTGGATGTTTCTTTAGTCAGATGAACCTCCCTGAGGGCAGACCCCCCCCCTCCCCCGCCATTCATCCTCCAGCTGCAAGCCTGGTGTCATTCCCGGGTGCTCTGTCACAGGCGTCACTGCTTGACCAGAGGTGACAGCAGCACAAGAGTCTGATGGGAGGAACTCTGTGGGGCTGTGGGAGGGCCCTGGAGCATTCCCAGCATGGGAGCTCCCCCATGGTCCTGTGAGCCCCTGAGGGGCCAGAAGCTCCCCGTTTCCCAGGCCAGGACCCAGGAGAGATCTGTGCTCCCGCCCAGAGGTCTTTCCCACGGGAAGGATGGCCCCAGCTTCTGGAGCACATCCCAGCCTTGGCTCTGATGAAGTGTGTGCCACCGTGGGCAGCTAGTGGCCAGCAGGGCGGAGAAGGGTGGACCCATTAAAGTAATCCCTGTTGTCCCCCTGTCGTGGGAGAATTGGCCCTCACTTAATACCTCCTGCTCCCCTGGGGCCATACCCAACGACCTCACCACAAATAGCACTGTATGCGAATCAAATCAGAGGCTTTATCTTTGGAAATTAATCCAGCTCAGAGCGGGATTAACCAGGACATCCCTGTAGACAATGGTGGTCAAGGTCAGGGGAGCCAAGGGCTCTTCAGTGGAGCCTGATTTTCCCGTATTTCCTCGGCTGAAGCCAGGGGGACCCCGATAGCCTGCCCCAGCCCCTCTCCTCCTTGTGCAGGTGGGGTGGGTGGGAGGTAGGTGGGGGTCCTGGCTCTCGAGTCGATGAGCCCCTAGGCAGAGCTCTTTCCTGCCTCCTGTGGACAGGGGTCCCCGGTCCAGGAGACCTTGGGGTTGAGTCCGGTCAAGGGCCTTCCTTCCCTGCCCTAACAGAGACCCTGGGCAGGGAAGGGTTGGGGCAGGGCTTGGCTAACAGGTGGTCCTCCACCCTCCCTTCCTCTCTGGGTAGAACTGCCTCCCCCAGGGGCCCAGATGTTCCTCCCCCATTAGCAAACGCACTGGGACCCTGGGAGACGCCTGTGTGAAGAGGCCGGCCAGCCAGTCCTGGGTCTGAGGTCTGGAGCCCCCTCCCCACATTCCCATATTCCGCTGACCGGTGTCCCTGCCGACTGCTGCCTGGGTCCCCTTCCACTGGACCCCATGCTTTGGGGAGTGTCCGTCCTGCCTTGGCTGTCCCTGGGGGTGGGGACAGGACTGAAGAGGCCGGTTAGTGAGGGTCCTGCGGACGGAGACACTGGAAAATTGGGGCTGTTTTTCGTCTCTTATGTGAACATGGAGCGGCGTGTTTTGTCTTCTGCCATTTTCAGAAGAGCTTTTTTATTCTGTATGTGTGTTTTGGAAACGTCTTTCTGTCCTCGTTTAAAAGTAGAGGGCGGATCTTAGTGGGGAAGCTGCTGGCTGGAATGGAGCAGCCAGAAAATAGATGGGAGAGAGGAGGGGGAGGGGCAGAAGGGGGAAGGGGAGGGGCAGAAGAGGAGGGGGAGGGGCAGAAGGGGGAAGGGGGAGGGGGCAGAAGAGGAGGGGGAGGGGGCAGAAGAAGAGGGG